GGAGAACTACAGACCAATCTCCTTAATGAATATAGATGCAAAAATCCTTAATAAGATACTAGCAAACAGAATACAGAGGATTATTAAGAAGATCATCCATCATGACCAAGTCGGATTTATTCCAGAGATGCAAGGGTGGTTCAACATACGAAAGTCAGTGAATGTAATACATTATATTAACAAAGTCAAGGACAAAAACCATATGATCCTCTCAATAGATGCAGAAAAGCATTTGATAAAATTCAACACCCATTCATGATAAAAACCCTGCAAAAAATTGGAATGGATGGTCTATACCTCAATTTAATAAAGGCTATTTATGAAAAACCATCAGCCAACATCATATTGAATGGCCAAAAACTGAAAACCTTCATGTTAAAATCAGGAACAAGACAAGGATGCCCACTATCACCACTTCTCTTCAATATAGTTCTGTAATTTCTCATTTTATAGGTGGTAAAATCAAAGTCAGTGTTAGTTAAATGACTTGCCTAAAGTTAAGTCTGTGAGATGATTACATCTCAGTCCTGACTTCTACTCACCACAGAAGTCAGCATTTAAAACTTCAGATTCACCAGTCAGGATTTCAGTGTGAAATGAGTTCCTCAGTATCAAAAGGTTTTATAGTTCTACTACTACTGAACTGAAATTTGATGTTTTATTCAGAGATTTCTCTCAGTTCTACATGTCTGAAACATAAATTCTAATTAGACACTTGAAGAAAATTTTCCCCCACTGATGAAAAGCTGTGGGACATTTTTGAGGTTCAGATACATAAAACATGCTTTGATTCTTAATTTTAAGCAGGATCCTTACATATGAATAGTGTTGAGCTTTCAACTTTGTTTTCATCTTCAATGTGGTTTCTTAATTTCAAAAATCAATTTGCAATCGTTTCTATGCTTAGAGAAACATGGATTTCTTTTTTTTAGGAAGCACAGTATTAGGCTATAGTATTAAAATATAATCAATCAAATATAATTGCTTCTACTTCTTCCTTTTGCTAATTTTATTTTATATCACTGATAAGCTGTCCTTATAAGGAAGTTTGTTTCTTCTTTTTCTTATTAAGCGTGTAACATTTTAGGTAATTTTTAACTACATTGCAGAATTATCACATGAACAGATCAAATTCAAGTTCTTAAACAACAAAGCCCTTATTAATGTGATGGTCAAGATTACAATTTGTTTTCATCAAATATACTTACAAATAGTTTTAAAAGTTAACATAAGAGAAAAAAATTAATTGGAGAAATTCTAATGCCCATTTAAAATGCACATAATTCTCATGAGCAAATGCCTTATATTATGATAATAATTACTGGTTTTACTGATCTTGAGTAATGCTAATGTTTAATGCATTTCTTCTCTCTATTTTTAAGCATGACTCTATGCTCTAGCTGTCTAAAGAAGACTTTTGATGTCCAAAACTGTAATCTGCAGTCCTTGGAATTTTTGTAGTTTTGGTCTTAGCTCTGCAATCCACTTTTTTTTTCTTTTATTGAGTTTATTGGTACATTTTAGGTATACAGTACAATTACATTCATTATTGGGATCTTGTACCTTTACATAGACAGGTCTTGGTTCTCATTTTTTGCAATCCAATTTTATTTTAGTATTCTACAAAAATACCATGGAGATTGAGGTGCCTGCAATATTTGTTCTTTAAGAAGTATTCACATTGCTTTTACTTGAACAATTATTACTTAATCTTCTCTGTATTAAATTTCTTTTTGAGAAAGTCAGTGATACATGATAGATGTTTGCATAGGCATTGATACTAGTACAGTGTAACAAGGCTAATTCTTCTGACAAGATTGTTCACAATCAGGATAAAAATATACTTTGTGATTTTTTTCTTATAATCTTCAGGAGACAGTCTTTGATCCTAAAAAGTGGGGTTGTGAAATGAGGAAGGAATATTGAAGAAGGAGCTTTAAACCTAATTCTTTGTTTGATCTTTTTGTTGATTGAAAATTTTATAAACTACACTCTGCTTGACGGATAAATGTTGTCTTTGTGTTTCAGTAGATTTTTTTTCCTATGTAGATTCTTTTCCTTTGGCCACAGGAAAAGAAATTTTTTGATTAAACACAATAAAGTCTCAGACTAAAGCAGAGTTGTACTTTTAAGCCTCTAATGAGTTAGTTATTTCTAAAGAATAATTTGTTTCAAATTTTGTATATGGGCAATATAGACAGTGTTGGGAGAAAAAAGCTTTGTAAGAATTATAATCCTGGATTTTTATGTGAGAGAATAGAATGATCCCATAGTAGGTAAGTGTGTATTAAAATGAACAAAATTGTGACTATATAATGAATTTTACCAAATATAAAGGCTTTTTGCCTAGGTATAATTTTTTCTTTAATCATACACATTCTGCTATGTGAACACCACTGGTTAAGGCTCATGATGTCTCCAAAGCAATTTTTGACTCTACAAATAACACAGAGGATAGTTCGATGATTTCACTTTTCACATCAAGGGTGATTGCTATCCTCTTAGGAAGCACAGTTTGATAATTGTTGTATTAATCAATCATTCTGCTTTCAGTTTTTCTTCTTCACCTAAAAGTTTAGCCTTTATTCCACTGATACTATAGACACATGCTCATTGATCATATGTTTTTTTCTAATGAATTTTCTTCCTTCTTGTCTCTTTAATAGACACCAAATATCATGGTGAGAATTATATCTTCTACTCATGTTCTCTCCATATAGTGAGCTAGAAGGGGTTTATCCATTTTAGTCATTTTTTTTAAATTTTTTTCAGCTTTAATTGAGTTTATTGGTACATTTTAGGGATACAGTACAGTTACATTCATTGTTGGGATCTTGTACCTCTACATGACAATTAGTCATTATTTTTAACACACATTTCTCTTCAATCTATAATCTCATATTTCCTACTTTCCCTTTTCTTTTGAAATTTCTTATTTCTGAATAGTATATTTCATCAATAGCCACTTATAAGAGGAGAGCAGGCTTCTAAACTTGTGTAAAACTGTCTAATATTGCTTTGTATTTTAAATATAAACCTCTCATTCTGTTATCTACTATAATTATGGAAAGAAGGAAAGCA